GCGGGCGAGAGCAGCGGCCGCGTCGGGCTGCGGCGGCGCCAGTGCCCGCGCGATGGCGCTGTGCAAAGGCGAAGGCACCGGGACGGGTCGGGCGGGTGGTCCCGGCCGCGGCCCGCAGGAGCATCCGCGGGCTCGGGTCTCGCCGCGATGGAGCCCGAGCCAAGCGGAGAGACCGGAGCCCTCGCCTGTGGGATCCGCTCTCTCCTCTCCTCTCTCCTCCTGACCCGGCGTCCTGGCAGTGCGGACTACATCCGCCAACCCGAAGGGACCCAGAGCTGCCTCGCCGGTGCTGGGGGCCGTCCCGCTCCCAGCCCGCCGGCCACTGTGCCCTTGTGGCAGCCCGGGTCCTCTGCGCTTCGAGGCAGCGCCCGCGGGCGGTGGGTCAGTGTCCCCCGGGACCCCAGCGTGCGGCGCCGGGGACCTCGCCTCGGCCCGGGCCACAGCGCTCAGCCCCGGCCGAGCCTCACGGTGAGGCTGTCGTCCCGCGGGCGCCGCAGCCCCTGGGAAATACCGGGTGGAAGGGGGAGAAAGCAGCAGATGAGGAGAACGTCCGGCGGATCCTGCCTCGGGGAGACCCACGGGGGCCAGCTCTCGGCCCGGCTGCGTAGGACGAGAGCTGCCCCGGCCCGGGGGGCGGCATCGCGGGCAGCGGAGGCCCGGGAGGTCGCGGCAGCCCCGGCTGCAGCCGCCCGCCTCTGAAGCCTGTGTGGGCACAGAGATCGCTTCCATGCGTTTTGGCTTTAAAAGCGGTAGTTAATGAAAACCAAACCTTTCCAAGGAGGTGTTTTTGTTCAAAATTTTTTGGTAATCAACGACTGAAGGGCTCCACAAACTTCCGCAACAAGGAGCGCTGGGCACCCGGAGCGCATCCACTCCTGCTCCCATCAGAATGAGAAAGCAGAAAATTCTCGTTCCGGAGTTCGTGTTAGAAAAAGAAAAATAGGTTATTAATATTATTAATATTTTTTAAAATAGTTGTTTTTTAATTGCGACATTGAATACGGGTGAGGAAAGCAATGGGAAATAATAATATTTTCTTTCCAGTGGAAATAGGGACATGTGAAAATCATGCAATTGGGGGAAAAAAGCGTTTGTAATTCGAAACAGGGAGAAAAGTCTTTTATTGGGAAAAAATATGTAAAAGAAAAATAAGCATCATACTTCATAAAATCATCATATTTCATAAATTAAGTGATGTTTACAAAACAGAAGTTACCCAACAACATTTATACGAACTCGGTTACGTTTCCCTCGGTTTCACTACCGAGCCCCTTTGCTTCCACGTCAAAATTTTCAAATCATTACGGCTTCCGATTTCAAAGTTATTTTCTCTGAGTATTTTATGTAAACATTCAGTTTATAAATACGGACTAAACACATATTCGGTAATTGTGATATTCCAGTGAACGCGGAAATGAGAAACCAGCTGCCCGTGGAGAAAGAAACGAAAGCAAGAGAAAGGTGCAGGGGATTCATTGCAAATGAAGCAATCGCTACATATATATTTAAATGTATTTAATTGTATGCATTATTCAAATGCCCTTCTGACTAGTTTAATAATTTAGAATCGATAGTTTTCCTAAAAACTTTATAAAATATTTACACTTAATAAAATATTAATCGATTAACAAGCCAGTTGTACTCTTATAGGAGCTTTACTAAAGTCCTGTAATCGCGCTGTCGCCACACGTCTCCGCTGTTAAGGAAAGGATCACTGACAAAATGTAAATGAAGATCTTCAGACGGTGGTGTTTATAAAATACCTCATTAATGGGCTTGGATTGAGTCTCTCCATCCATCCACATCATCAGATATAATAATAGTAACGAATCAGACAGGGAAGATCCTGGCTAAACCATTGGCATTTTTTTTTCCAGAAGTACTGAAGTCCTAAATCACCAATTCTTCTAACTTTCCGGCCATTGATCCGCGGGCATTCGTAGTTCAACATCAAAGGTAAGAACAAAACATTATTCAATTATTCAATAGCTGGTAGAAAACGTTAACTTCCATGTAAGAACGTTAACTTCCACACTGCTGAGCTTTATCAAATTGGGGGGAGGGGGGACGGGGACGGACGGACAAGGGCGAAAAGTTGGATCGGGTTATTTAAAAAGAAACCAGAGAGTTCTCCAAACTTTGAGGCTCGTTTCTGAGAGGGAAAGCAGGAGACCTGGTTGGCGGCAGCCGCCGCGCTCTCTCCTCCGCAGCCTGCGCGTTCCCGGCACCGCCGCTCGCTTCTCCGACCGCTCCCGGAGCCCCGGCCCTGGCGGTATCCCGGCCCCCCCCCGCCCTCGGCCTTCCGCTGCTCCCCGTATCTTCTCTGGCTCCCCCCGACTTCAGCCGGCGATGGGACGCGGCTCCCACCCGCGTTCACGGCTTGCTGTCCCGGGTCAAGGCTGGCACCGCGTCCAGACTTCGGCGGCGGGTCCCCCTGCCCCTGCCGAGGCGGGGGGAGACACGAGTGCTTCGGCCGAGGCGGGGAAAGCCGCACTTGGCACTGCTTTTCGGGGCCGGCCCGGAGGTCGGATGTGGAACGAAGGGCTGATTTCTCTTACCCTGCCCGAGATCCGCTGCTTCTCCTGGCACTATTTTCAGGGGCGGCCCGGAGCTCACCGGGACACCCGAGCACTCGGGTGGGCTGTCACTGCCACTCGGAGGGAAGGAGGGGCGCAGCGGTACCGGCGGCAGCCGATCTCCTGTGGGGACCTGACCCTCCTCCAAACCCCGAGGCAGCACTGGGACGGCTGCATGCGGGCTCGGGGCAACCACTGCTGCCCGCCCTACTGTCCCCGGGCGCTTACGGGAAGAACGAAGATCTGCCACCAGGGCTGCCCGGTGGCCGTGATGCTCCCTCAGGTCCCTAGTGTCGCCGTGCCCGGGACGGGGGGCTCCGCTCCCCACTAACCCCCCTTTTTTTTGACCCTCCGGCGCCACCGTAAAAGACGGAGCTCTTAAGGGAGCACGGCAGGGAGGGCGGCGCCGCGCAGGGAGCCAGCCGCGGACGGGCGGCGGGGGAGGTGGAGGAGGGGGTGTCGGGGCACTTTGGGTGCCCGCCGCCGCCGGCTCATTCCCCGCCGCCCGTCCGCCGCCCGCCCCCCTCCGCCAGAAGGGATTCCCTCGGTCCACCTTAACGTGGGTCTCGTTCCGCCGCCGGGCGGGCGGCGAGGGCTCGGCGGCGCGGGGCCGCCGGCTCATTCCCCCGCGCCCCCCGGGCCGGGCAGGGGGCGCTGCGGGTCCTCGGGGCGCCCGCGGGGCATGGCCCCGCCGGGAGACGCTCCCACGCCGCCGCCGGCCCCCGGGAGCGGCGCGGTGCACCTTGCATCAGAGAGAAAGGGGACTGCCTGCCTGCCGGGTGACCGCTCGCCGCCCTGGGACTGGTGAGGGGCTCGATCCCGCCCCGCTTCGACTTCCCGGCCGGAGCTTTGCCCGCACCACTGGCTGCACTTAGGTAGCGCTGTCATGCCCTACCCGGAGCTCCGCTATTAAATAATTTAGCGGCGGCAGCAGTAGCGCTTCCCTGCCCGCTTGTCACCTTCTCCTGGCCCCCGCCATCAATTATTCAGGACCACCCCGGTAACTGCCTGGAGCCGGGCGCGGAGAACAGTGCGACGGCGGGGCCCTACCTGGGGCCGGTCGCTGGCTCTTGGAGGCCTGGAGAAAGCGCGACCGGCCCCCGGGGCGGCAGCCCCCACCGCGCCGGGAAAAGTTACTGTGGCCTCGCCCCGGCGGAGAGAGGTTGCGGGAGGATCCCCGCCGTCGGTCGGTTCCCAGGGGGATGGGGGTGGGGGGCGGGTGGCAGGACGCGGCGAGGTCGCACGGGCTGCATCGGACCAACCCGGGCGTGTAGACTGAATGCCGGTGGCAGCTTTGCTCCTCCTCGGTCGGTCCGGTGTCCCCCAACTCCCATTTCCCCACCATCCACCCCCCCCGCCCTTCCCCTTCTCCCGGCTCCTCCTCCTCTCCGTCCCTCTCAGCCCTCCCCCAGCCCGACTGCCCCTGCCCTTGCGCCTTTCTGCCCTGGGGCTCTCCTGTCACCACCGCGTCGTCCTGCCACGCTTCCCCTTCCCCACCCAGCCTGCCCTCCCTTCGCGCGGCACTGCGCTCCTTTTTCGCGTGCGAGATGTATTATTTATTTATTGGTCTTTAATTTCCTGCCAGGTGGGTTTCTGCCTCCCACCCGTGCGCGCAGCGGGGCCGGGGCTCCGCGGGGCGGGCCGGGCCGGGAGGAGGTGGGCTGCTGCGTGCCCGTCTGTGCCCGATTCCGAGGTAGCAGCGAGACTTGATTTTTGCGGGGGGGGGGGGCGGGGAGGAGGAGGGTTGTCAAGGCGAGGAGGGGGGGCGATGTTTGGGATGCACAGCCCTGGGACGGGAACGCCGCGCAGACAGACAGGCAGACACACACACACAGGCGTGCACATACACCAAACCCGAAAGCAAGGACAACCCCAAAAAGGACTCACTTTGCCTCGATGACTCAACGCAACTAATAACCGTTTCTCTGCTCTCTGTGGCGAGTCCCTCCTGCCGCTGCTGTCGTTGGCAGGGGAGGGAGCGATTGAAAGTGACACACGGGGGGCCGCCGCCGCCACTTAGGAGGAGGGGTGTCAAGGCGAGGAGGGGTGGCGATGTTTGGGATGCACAGCCCTGGGACGGGAACGCCGCGCAGACAGACAGGCAGACACACACACACAGGCGTGCACATACACCAAACCCGAAAGCAAGGACAACCCCAAAAAGGACTCACTTTGCCTCGATGACTCAACGCAACTAATAACCGTTTCTCTGCTCTCTGTGGCGAGTCCCTCCTGCCGCTGCTGTCGTTGGCAGGGGAGGGAGCGATTGAAAGTGACACACGGGGGGCCGCCGCCGCCACTTCTCCGCGCTGCCAGGCACTCGCCGCCGCCGCGGAGCCCGGGAGAGCGGCGCTCCCTCCTCTTCTCCTCCCCCTGTTTCCCCCGGTATTGATTTTCTCCGCTGAAGGTGTGAGAAGTCGGCTCCCTCTCCCTTCTCTTCTGCGCCGCAGCCGACGGCCCCACGCCTCCCCGCCCCCTCGTCCCGACCTCTCCGCTCCGCTCGCCACCCGCGACCCACCGGGACGGGGCTCTACCCTTGCCGCCCCGCGGGAAACCGCCCCGGCCCCGCCGCCTCAGCACCCCCGGAGGAAGGCGAGGAAGGGGCTGGGGGTGGGGGGAAGGAGTAGAAGCGAAGAACGCGGCGTGGGAGAAGGAAACAGGAAAACTTTCCACCCTGGATTCTCTACTTCTGATCCATGGACAGAGCCCAACTCAGCCAACTTACAGACAGGCTATAAGCAGTAAGTACAGCGGCCGTTCGCGGGAGCCGCTCGCTAGAGGCTTCCTCGCCAGCAGCCGGCTACTCCGTGGCTGCACAGCTGGCCGGCGCGGGGGGGGGCCGTGCCAGCGGGGCCGTCTGGACTGGCAGCCTCTTCCCCGCGGCCCCCGGGGGTGGGCCGGGACTGTGGCCGTACCCGGGGCGCAGCACCTGGCTGCGGCAGGCGGCTGGGCTGCTTGCCTGCCGAGCGCGATGGGAACCGGGGCGCAGCACTGCCTGCCCCCGCCCGCGGCAGGTTGGCGCCGGGCGGGTGAGGGGAACCGCTCGCTTCCAGCGGGGCCGGCTCCGGCGGCGGGAGCGGTGCGGCGTCGCACCCGGCCGCTACTCGCCCGGCTTCACGGAGCTGAACCGCTCTGGAGACGCGCATCGGGGGCCCGGCCGGGTGAGCGGGGCCCGGTACTGGCCAGCGGCCACTGAAGCGCCCCTTGTTTCTCTCGCCCTAGGTCCGTGCTCCTTCTACTGCGACCTGCCAGCGGGAGCAGCGTCCCCGAGCATGGAGCGGAGGAGCGAGAGCCCCTGTCTGCGGGACAGCCCCGACAGAGGCAGCGGCAGCCCCGATGTCAAAGGGCCCCCCCCCGGGAAGGTGGCCAGGCTGGAGCAGAACGGCAGCCCCATGGGCACCCGCGGGAGGCCCAACGGCGCCGTCACCAAGCCCGTGGGAGGTAACCGTGCGGCCGCGCTCGCGGCGGCTCCGCCGCCCGGGGCGCGCAGGGCGGCGGGCCCGGGGGAAGCGTGTGGCGGGCGGGTCGGCACCGTGCGCGGAGGGCCCGGCAAGTCCGAGTGGCAGCTGGAGGGCTGCTGCCCGCTTTCCTGGGCAAGCATTTGGCTGCTCGGCACCGCTGCGGTGATGGGGTTCTGCGGGAGGACTTGGACCGGGCATGCGGCGCGCAGCCCTCCGCTGTTAGAAGGCCGCCTGCCGAAAGAGGCCACCCCGGGCCGGGCTCTGGCCGGGCAGCTCTCAAAAGGCGAGGGCTGATCCTGCGGGAGGGTAACGGGGTGAGAGCGCGTCCTGCGCTCGGCGCTTTGTTGGTGCGGATTGCCCTGGGGCAGCCCACGGGCATCCCCCTGCCCGCCGGCGCTCCCGCAGGGCACGGCAGCGGCCGGGCGGCGGGCCTGGGCAGCGCCTCCGGGCTGGGTGCGGGCGGTCGGGCTGCCTTCACGGATGCAGGTGACACCAGTTTAGCTGCGTTAACACCCACCGTCACAGCTTTGAGAAGAGGGTCACCAGGGTGGGAAAAATGGTAGCGTTTATGGTTGCATTTTGGGGTTTTATTTTTCTTTCGGTAAGTAGCATTTTGTAGCAGTTGTTGTAAAAGAGGATAGGGCATGTGTAAGGTTCAGCTCTTTCAGCAAATATATTGGGCATTAGTTTTTCAGTTTTCCTGCGTTTCTCTAGAATACTTAATCTTTCTTATTTTGCTATCAAGTTGCTGGTCAGTTTTGTGTTAAGAGGATATTAAGTGCATGGTTGCTTTTTTCCCTCCTTTTGTTCCAAGCAGATAAACTTTCCAGTTACTTCTCTTAAATGCCTTCTTTTTTCCTCTTAACTCTGATGCTGTCGTGTTTGAGACAGTGCAGCCTCGTGTTAGAAAAAATACATTTAAAGATCTTGAAATTAACCAGCTGTTGTGAACAGAATACTGCAGGAAAGGCCACCAGTAACTTTACCTTAAAAAAACCTCTGTATTTGTGTTTTAAAATGAGTAGAGAGGTAACATAATTGTAGTTGTTTGTACACAAGGAGTTTGTGTAACTGGCATTTCGAGAGATACATTGAAATGGTCGTCACATGACTCTCTATTACGTGAGGTTTATTTAGCGATTTTGCCATTAGATGCTTGTTTTAGACCTCTTTGGCTCAATAGGCTTCCTAATTGCTGAAGTTTGCTAAGGAGCTGCAGATTTTATTTTAAAAGCGTAGGATTCATTTATATACCTAATGAAGGGTAAGAGAGCTCACTAGTTTTTTTATGTTTCTATATATCTAGTTTTTAATCCTCTTCTCCGTGTTCCTCCAGTGTATGGAAGAAGAAGAAACAGCTTTGCAGTGAAAGACTTGTAATACTATTCCACTTAGAAATTGCTGGAGAAATAATTAGTTGAATAATCGTAAAAAGGAACTATTTAATCATATAAAAAGGAGTGTATGTAGTTTTGCATGCATTTTTCAAGACTTCGGCATTAAAGCTGCTTGATTTTTAAAGGAATGTTAGAATTAGAGCTGAAATATTTTTCCTCGGGGCATTTATAGAAATATACTTTAACAGAACTCTTTTAAATGTTTTGGAATATATGTTTGCTTTCTAGTTGCAGCTGTATTATCCAAGAGAAATTCAGCAGCTTTTATAGTTATACTGGTGGTTCAGCCTGAATCTGGCCTATTAAGTTGTGGAAGATCTCTTCCACTTAAGAAAAAGACTTTCATTTCTGAAAGCAAACTTTTAAGAGCTTGAGTTTTCATTCATTACTTTTCAGCTCATGTATAAAGGTGTTGTAGACTGGAATGTAGAAGTGTGGGGGAATAAGAAATGCAGGAGTAATTTTTTTTCTTTTTTCTTAGCTTGTGTTCTTTAAACAGTCTCAGTCTCTTTGGGTTTAGGCTGTTCATAATAAAGGTTATTCATTACTCCTTATTGATACTGAAAGCAAGAAAAAATGATTCCTTTCTGAATACTTACCTAGGTTCTATAATACTCAATACTAAATTAGTTAAGGCAGACTTTTTTTTTAATAAGATAATGGTGCTGTTTAAAATTGATTTTTTTTTTCTCCTGGAAATACTCTTACAATAAATCAACATAACTAATTTCCAGATATTTTCCCTCTGCTCTTTTTCAAGTTTGATCTTTAAGAACCTGTTATGATCAAGTGATCTTTTCCTGTATGCAGATCACACCTGTTTCAGGTATTTTTGGAAGTCTGTGTCTTTGCAGTGATTACTGTGGTGTTAGTAATTTTTTTTCACTGGAGTTGTGAAATGCATCTGCAGACATTTGTGGATGGGCTTACTTTATTGGTAAATTAGTATAAAAATTATTTGAAGTAAATACTGATAGGGACTCTCCTGTTATTGTGCCTAGAGTCTGACAAAAAGGAAACTCTTGAAAGTCATAGTGAAGTGACATGCAAGGCTTCAGTTGCCAGTTTTTCTGTTTATTCTTATTTCTTGGGCTTTAACAAGTGCTGATACTTACTGAATGTGAATTGTATTTAGGACAAAAATGGAAATACTTTACCGAAAACTAGAGACCATTTAAGTTTTTTTGTTTTATTTTTAATTCCATAGTATATAAAGTGTATATAAAGATTTTGAAAGCAACGCCAAATGCTAGCAATTCTTTTTCTCATCTCATTTTGGGCCTTAGATATGTAAATTCTGAAATTCCTTCCTATTTGTCAAGTGGATTTTGCTGTAATAATATCAGTTTCTGAAGTTAATTCGTGAGAACAGAGCAATAAGCTCTCAACTATCTGCAGCTATGATGAGTGTGATGACCTTTGGTAACCAGTTTTATAATCGTACTGTTTGCTGCAATTATTTTTCTAGTGACTTCCCTGAGAAATAGAGAAATATAATGCTATCGGTGTTTCTAGCTTTCTCTCTAGTTTTGTGAGTGAAAAAGTGTTTTAAAATTAGCTTATGTAATGCAAACAGAAAATCAGTTGTTCTCATGAGAAATTTTGCGCTATGACTTTCCTGGTTTTTTATTCCTAACGTGAATGTCCTTAATTCAGAGAGCCATTACAGCAGCTATAATAATCTAGCGAAGGTCACTAAAAAGATAAACGAGGTCTTAAAGGTTGTGTTTAATAGGGGATTTAAAAGTTTTGGTACTGTTTACAATGTTGTTAGCGTCAGTCCAATGTATTAGAGTCCAGTTTTGGTTTGCCTGACTAACCCAGCACTTCTGAAATATTTCAGCTGTTATCTGACCAGTCTGTTTTAAAACCTGTATGTAATAAAACACAAGTGCTCAGATTTTAAGGAGAGTAAGGTTCCTTGGAAAAAAAGACTAATATCGCTTTAAAAAACATATGAAGCCTGGGAGAGAGTTTAGAGCAAGCAAGAGCACTATGGTGTTGACAGCTTTATATCCCTGTTGGGTAACATTCACTTACTAGAATTGGCGTCTCCTCTCAGTTAGTAATTCACTCCATAAGGATTAAAAAAAAGAGAGATGATTAATGACTAGGAAACTTATATTTACAGAATTGTTGATTGCAGTTTGTGAACCTGTTTGTGTAAGAGTGGATGTGCATATATATGTGTGTGTTGATTTGAAGAGCATAGAAAATAAGCGTCAAAAGCTTCTGAAAGCAGCTTAAAATGCCAGGATGCAGAATGAGCTGTTCTGAAGTTTGATTTTGCTGAAAAAGAAGCATAAAATCAAATGATAGCCAAGGGAGCATGTTCAAATTTAAAACAGGAAATGATGGCAAAATATTTTTTGTTTAGATTAGTTTGATGCAGTCTGATATGTTCATATGAATGTAACTGTTAAAAACTGTGATTCAATTTACAAAATATTAACGGAGGGAAAAGCTTTCGGGCAATTCAAGCCAAAGTGTATGATCAGGATGTTAATCAGTAGCTGTAGTTACGGAGTTTGTATGAAGTCAGATGTAACAGAAACGTGGATGCAGTGAGTCTTCGGAGCGCTGCTGCTGATTGCTGTGAGCCCCCTAAAGTTCAGTGTATGGTGGTCATGTCTGCTTAAGTGTAGTTAGAAATCAGTTTTAATATATCTCTGGGGTGACAGAAGCACAGGCTGATGGTTAAAGAGCTGTTTGTCAAAGTCCATTCTAGATATTTCTGTAAAAATATGATAGGCTTTGTACTACCTTTTATATCTTTACAAGGATTTAAGGCGCTTGACTGGAGCAAAAATTCACTTCTGTGCAGATGAAGAATACAGCCTGATCAAATTTGCTCCTCTGTTCTAAGTGGTTAGTTAACATGGCATCCTGAAAGCAGTAAGGAAGTGTTTCACTTGTCCTTAGGAATTGAGCAAAGTGAAAGGTGAAGTTTTAGACTCCTGCCCAGATGCTAGATGAAGAATACCTTCCTGCTGCCTGAAAGAAATATGGAGCTGTTGGAAAGAATTAAGCGCACTGAAATACAGAACTGTGAAAGCCGCAAATCCTTGTTAGTTTCAGGAACCAGCATAGATGTGTTTTATGTTTTACGTTTATGTTTTATATTTTTTCTGTGGCTGCATAGTTGGAAAATGTTGCATTTAATTTTATATGATGCAGTAGGGTTTTGGAAGAAATGTAAAATCTTGCATTTTACGTGTTTCTGATGTATAATGAGGAAGAAACCTCTAACAGGAACAGTAAGAAAAGCAAGACAGTTTTTTTTTTTTGTTTTTTCGGGACTGATTGTTAAAAATGAGTTTCTGGTATTTTTGCTCATTTTCACCCCTTTCTCCCTTTTCAAATCAGGTTATATCATGTAAATAGAACAAACAGAGCAGTCATTCCTGAAGGGTCATGCAGTGTATCAGCCATATTTTTGCTGAGGTAGAAAAATAGTCTTTCTTTATGTGTTTTCAGTACTTGGTCTGTTATTAAAATAAAGACACAGTTGGTTGAAACGCGTGTACAATTGAACATATGCATTAAACAGAATATAGGGTATCCACCCATTCAATGACCTAGA